CAGAGCAGAGCGGGAGGGGGAGGAGGATGCTGGCACTCAGCGCGTTGCCCTTCCTGAAGCCGGTCCACCTGAGGTCCCCCCGAAGCTCGCCCGGGGGCCAGCGCCGCCACACACTGCCCGCCAGCGAGTTCCGCTGCCTCAGCCCCGAGGACGCCATCAGCGTGTTCGAGATCGAGCGGGAAGGTAAGGGGCTGCCCCAGGGGGGGTCCTGTCTGGTGGCATTGGCCAGAGATGCCCTGTCCCCTCCTTCCAGCAGTGCCTCGTGCTCCTTGGGGCCATGTCGTGGTGGCACAGCCCCCATGCAATGCCCTCCTGCGTGACGAGGGAGGGAGCCAGCGGCCATGACTTCTGGCCAGGCCACCACAGGCTCCTCCACGAGGCGGGGGCGGCTGTGATTAAGGAGGTGGGGAATCACGGTGCCCCCAGCCCAGCCAGCTGCCCAGGGCTGGTGTGGTTTGTGGTGATGCTGGAGCAGGACCAGCAGCTTTCCCAAAACAGAGACAAGCAGACAGGAGAGGGGGAAGGTGGGACGAAGGACACAGTGCTCAGCCTCCTATCACACGGGGGGACTTTGAGGTGCACCCCCAGGAACCTCCCCCCCGCCTCCATCCCAGGCACCCCCAGCTCCCCTCAGCCAGACTCACCAGTCCATTTCTCCCTCCTCTCCCAAGGGCAGGCACGGAGGTGCCAGGAGGGAGGGTTCATCTCAGCACCCGCTGCTGTAGCCAGGGAATCAGCAACAAGAGCAGGGAGCCAGGCCCTGGGCTGCTGCTTCTGGAGGGGCAGAGCTGCTCCCTGGAGCCATCGATGCCCTTTGAGCTCCTTCAGGCCAAGCAGGCAGCAGGCCACTTGCCATCTCTCCTGGCTGTGTCCCTCTTTCTCCCTACACCAGTGCTGGGGTGTTTTCCGGGTGTGGGTGTCCTCGGTCCCGCTTGCTGTGCTCACCACCGTCCCCTTGCAGCCTTTATATCTGTCTCTGGGGACTGTCCCCTCCACCTCGATGAGATCCGACATTTTCTGAACCTGTGCCCGGAGCTCTCCCTTGGCTGGTTTGAAGAAGGGCGGCTTGTAGCATTCATCATCGGCTCTCTCTGGGACCAGGATGGGCTCAGCCAGGTAAGAGCCGTCCCTGTTCTTCCCCGCTCGTGCATTGGGAAAGTCACTGCCAGAGCCTGGGGCTGAGGAGAAGCTCCCTGGAGCTACTCACCACCAAGTCTGCTCTCGAGACTAACTAGCACAGGGCTGCTCTGGTGGAAATGAACTTTCCCAGTAATTAATTTCACTGATGTCGTTTAAAAGATATGCCAAGGAATTCCCCTCACTGCTTGTTTTAAAATTAAAAACTCTCCAAGGACGATGAGGAGCAGGTGAGGGGGCTGGCAGCGGGACCCTTGGCCACTCTGGGGGAAGATGCGAACCCTGGTTTATGTGGGTGGGGAACCAAAG